GTAACTTCACTGAGATAACATAAATCCAAGTATAATTTATTCCAAACTTAACTGTCTATTCCTTTCTAATTAGTTATTTGGATCTTCCCATTAAGAATGCAATTGATCAGTCTCTTATTGGCGTATATGCATCCTATGAGAAATGTGTGTCCTGTATTCCAATGCTAACCACCATCCATCTCTGTTTAACTGCTTACATTCCTGATTTAAAGTAATGGATTATACAGTCGTATTCGATAAATTCAGTAAATAAAAAACAAAATTACATTTCTTATATAATTATAATAGATTTGTGGAGTTTGTTCAACTTCTAAATGGTATCACGAACTGATACTAGCTAAACAACTATCGAAAACTATGAAATATGTTACCACTGTTACATTTTAACATGAGATTGATGAGCAGTCAACATTCACAACTCAGGTAGTAATCGAACACAAAACCTTTAGTCTCTTGTAGTGAGTGCTTAAGCTTTATATCAGTGGACTTCAATCAAATCTTTCATAGTTCTATTCAGTTGTCTAGCATTTATAAACGTATAATATATATTTAATTGTTAGCGTAAGGTTGTATATTTATTAAGTTGAATGAGAGATTAATCAAAAAATATTTTATTCAATTTTTTATTTTAATTAAGCTCATGAACCAATCAATTTAGACCACCATTGTAAACCTAGAAGGATTGAACGGCCGTTTCGTTCCAGTATGGGACTCCTCAGTAGTGCGCATCCACCGATAATTAGTTATTTTCTGAGTGAAAAATGTTTTTGTAGAAATATATCCACATTATGTCCTCGACCAAGGATAGGGCAGTAGAAATGGTAATGTTCAGATTGAAAATAAATTGGAACCGTGCATAAAGTTATGCATTCGTTTTATGTGTTCCTTTTAAATCATATGTAGTTTGATAGCATAAAATTTGTGAATGTAGTTTATTGTGATTCGTTATGGAAAATCACCGTAATTTTGTCATCCTAATTAGTTAAAAAAAAACCTTCTGATACTACTCAGCTCACCAGTGACTGGCTTCAAGAGGTATTTCCTGTAGTTCTAGTGAGAAGCAGTAATCAGTGGAGTTCAATCAAGTTCGTTGTGAGATAGTAACTCACTGATGACAATGGTGGATTAGTTGAAGTTAGGCATTAACACAATTGGATGCCGGCTCAGCAGTCTAGAGGTTAAGCGTTCACACGCGAGACTGATAGGTCCTAGCTATCAGGACTAATTAGCTAAGTGAGTAACGCGATAGCATTTGTAGCGAACGGTACTTGGTTCGAGTCCCAGAGTGAACACCAACTTTGTGATGTAGGTACATCCATCTGAGGAGTCCTAAATAGGACGAGACACGTGTGCTTGATTCCAGTGCTAGCGACTGTCTATCATTAACTAATGAATATTTCTTTTTTAATGACTGAACATATTCCTGAATTTATTCTATTTCTATCATGTAAACACATACACACACATACAGAATCTAGCTTACTTATGATATCTGCTTCACAACCCCTATACTGATAATTATCGTGTGCTCATTAGTGACTAGCTTCGTGAGGGAATTCTCGGAGTTCTAGTGAGAAGCCGTGACTAGTGGAGCTAATCCGTGTCGGGTAGAGACAGGCATCTACCTCAGACAATGGAAGATGGTCTAGACATTAACACCATAGGATGACGGCTCAGTGATCCAGTAGGTTAAGCGCTCACGCGCGAGTCTGAAGGCTCCGGGTTCGAATCCTGCGAGCAGGATCCTGGTTGCGCGCTGCCGAAGAGTTCCACAATAGGACGAAACGGCCGTCCAGTGCTTCCAGGTTTTCAATGGTGGTCTAACATCAATCGGTTCATGATCTCAATAAAAAAATTAATAATCTCCACAACCCCGATACTGATAAAAAATATATATCAGTTAATTAATTCTATTTTGAGTATTAGATAAAATATAAGGTATATCATGATTTCCTTCTTATTGGTTAATTTTCTAAATTTGGGAATTATTTGCTGATTACAACCAATCAAATTATTTTTTTTAAAATTTGAAAATTTTGCTCAAAATAAAGTAATCAACAAAATCCTAATAATAATTTAATTTGATGAAGATCAAGAAGAAAACAGTATCGAATTTCAAAACTTATCAAACCATAAACAATATTCTAGTATATTTGCTTATTTGTCAACTATAGTATACCGTTGATCATATTATATTTCACTTACATTCAATCTATTTGAGTATTATTAATAAACATAGATCTATTTGTTACATCTCAATTAGCAGAAAATTGTATTTCTGATGTTTCGTGACTTTATATAAGACAGTTTAAACTTGTGTTAATTTAATTCGGTTATTTATTTACTCTGAAGAAGTAACTTACATCAAGTCACGAAACATCAGGAATACGATTTTTCCAAGTTATTGGAATGTGACAAAAAATGTATATTTATTATTAACTTTTGACCTAATGTTCAATTTATTTGAAACTATCATATCCAACCTTGGCATTGATACCTATTTAAGTAAATATGATAGCTTAACGCTATGAATAGATAAAGTGTAAGATTTTATTCATTAACGGTTGGATTGAATACAATTTGAATAATGCTATTGAATAGTCTATTTCAATCAGTGTGAATCATTGTACATCAATAGTTCTATTTTCATAGAATTGTTTTTTCAGTGAAATATTCCACAATCATAGATCAGATGATTTGTCATGATATTCTTATGGTTTAGTAAAACTTTAGTAACTCGCGTTGTTCATTGAAACAAAAAAATTTTCTATGAAGCTACTGAAAAAAATTCAACGGTAATTCATGTTTAGTGTTAGATGCTTGAAAGCAAAGTAAAGTGCGTGTGACTGCAATAAATCAATGATCTCCTATATAATAACATCCGCGTCAATTCATACTTTAGGTAAAAAATTAACTACTTAGATATTAGGAATGTATGATACATTCAAATAGGTATTGTTGAATTAATTATGAGAATTATTCTGTGAATATTTATATATATCTTCATATTTCCTAACCTGTCGGTGTTATGAAACAACTATGAAATTTGAATAATAGACAAAACGAAGAAGTTTCATGACTGTAATCTCCAATTCCATGTAAAATTTTTATCCCTGAAAATTTTATTTCAGTATGCACAACTGATGAAGAACATGTAAAATCAAACCAACTCACCTGAATATCTGGAATATCTACATGTTGCATTATTCAAAATGTTTTAAACGGTTTACATAAAGTCATATTTGGGTTAAGCTAATAAGTTGACTCGATTGGCTGATAAGTTTGTGATAAAAATGCCGTTTAATCAAATGAAATTCCATATTTGTGTATTAACAACTTAAATTAATTAATTTAGTTTTGAGTTGAGATTTTTATTGGTATATAACATCTTATGGATTGAGATAAATGGAACTTTTATGAAGACTACCATCACGAGAATTTTATCGAATTATAATTACCAGTCAAAAAACGGACTGAATCAATAAGGTTTTATCATTTAAGATATAATAAATAATGAACAAGTAAATTATGTAATAAAATATCAGATAAAGAAAGGATGTATGGTAACAAATAATAAAGTAATCTATTCGAATATTAATATTTCTAAATAATAACTAACAGTATAATCAAGGATGAACTTCTAAACTAAACACCCTGAAACGATTAATCTTAGATTCTTCTGTTTGCTACAATCTATGATAGCATAGAAAAATCGATAAAAAGAAAGAGTAGTTACCAAGAAAAATCAATCGAATCTGATCCAAAAAATGAATAAAAGTGATCTATTTAAAAATAAAAAATGAATAATCTTTATTTCAACAATATTTTTGGTTTAATTACAATACATACTTGTTAAGTTTGTCTTACATTGTTCCTACTCGCTCCCTTTCCACTCCTTTGTATATTGTTTTATACTACTTATTTACATTCACCAAGCAGTTGTATTCTCAACAATTCTTACACTTATGTTATAACGCAATTTGTAATGTAACATTCTGAAATGTTCACATCTACTTATAACGTTTATTGTACTTATCATTGTATTTATCATTATAATTACTGTACCTTGATCGTTGTAGCGGTTATTCACAGTTTTGTGCATTTGTTAAACGCAACAGTTTCCATACTGTTTTACTCTTGATTCGGGTTTCGGTTATTCATAAACTGTTATCGAATTCGAATACATCTATCAGCTGTCTTTTGTACTAACGTATGTTATAATTATTCTTTATATTACTGTTACAAAAAGCCTTTTTATTTTCATACTTGAAGGACGCGTTTAAACGCCCCAGACACCTCACAAGTTGAAGTTTGTAACTAAATTTTGTTTATTATTCAATAAAGAACAGCTATTGTGGACAAATCGTTGTTTTGGAACTTCGGTTTCGCGCGTATCTCAGTTGGGTGACCTGGACGCTTCGATAGATTTAACAATATTATTTAAAAACAAATACTTTCTTTGATTATATGATTTCAAACATTTTTCATATTATTTTTAACTAGATATATTTACCTTTCTTCACACATTTATCAGTACAGTTCATTTGGATCCAATTTTTATCATAATCATTATGCAAAATTTTCTCCTACAACCTTTAGAATATCTTTATTATTATTTTTTCGACATCAATCAATCAAATGTATAAAATATCTGTAATACATAGTCTAGATTATAGTTGGTCTGTGTCTAGATATTTTCATCGAAATTAACAATCTGATTGGTTGACATTTAACCAATCAGGATTATTTCAAAGCTGATTAGGTAAAATTTATAGTTTTTTATTTAGTAAATCTAACTGATATTCATTTATTTGGCATTGGATTATGGTGCAGTTGTTTACATTTACTGGTCTTGGCATCACGTGATATTTTTAACATAATTTTTCCCCCTTAAAACTAAGCATTCCTTATGTACATGATCAATTATTTCGTTTTTTTTCACTTATCATGAAAGTCCTTATTACGAAAATTTAATAGTAAAACAATCTGAGAAAAACATAATGGCTTTTTCTACGTTCAATGTAATAAAAACAAATGATGTAACTGTATTTGATGATGAGAACAATGAATATGAAGGCAAATCAGTTATTATTCAATATCCCGGTTATCGTATATTAATTATAGACACTGGATTATTAGAAAGACATAGAAAACCAAATATTTTATCTACGTAAGTTTGGTTATTATCACTTTTCTCTTTTGTGTGTGTGTAAGTGACTTATCAGTGTTTATGAGATTAAGTTTTATTACAAAATCAACTGAAGAATGTTCTTAAACACTGGGTAATGGAACATGATAAATACTGAACAGTAAACAATATTTTTGAATGTAATTAACCTTATAAAGTAAGTCATAAACCTGTTGAATTTACCTAAGATCTTAGAGAACACTGAAAAGCAATAAGTTAGTGTTCGATTGCTTTTTTAAATAATTCAGAAATCATTCAAAGATATTCGTTTATTTTAATTATTCCAATTATTTTTCTTTAAAGCAAAACTCATTTTGTAGTTTTGACCTGCGGATTTCAGCCGTATCAGGAGTATATGTTGTTTATTCAGAAGACTCGTTGTGTACGCTTTTTGAAATATCTTCAAGTCATCCATCAAATTATATTTCAACTGAATAGACTCAAGTTTAATCATTAAATTATACGATGAAAAGACATAGTAATAATAATAGTATGAAAATCAATTTATTATACATTATTCTAGGCGTTTATTTATAATTCATCTTAAAATAGATTAACTTAAAAACCAGAGTATACTGAATAACTTCGATATTAAAGTTTGGAATGTATTTTGGATATACATTTACAATAAAATACTGTATCAAATATAAGTTCTTCAGGTAAATATTATTATAAATTCAACTTATGTATACCCATTTAATAGGATCACTAGATTATAGAGTCCCCTAATGATAAGTTTATCTTACACCAACAATATAATTAACTTCCGCCCGATCAATAACATCAAGGACCACAACCAACAACAACCGGATATCTCAACGCCTATTGTTCCATATCAATGTTTTCATCCTTTAACGCTCAATCAGGATACGATAACAGAAAGTCGGCTTACCTTCTATTATAGTGACTCAAAAAATTCACTTGATATTAGAGATCAATTATAAGACCATAACACATCATAAACAGGAAATCTCAATCTGTACATAATTAGGTCATTTGTAATACAAGACGTTTAAGCATATGTCAACAGCTAATGAATCAAATATGAATTTACAATCAGGTAATATAAAAATATCATAGGCCAAATATTGGATAAGTACACAACAGAAATAAAGATAATAATTCCTTACAGAATAAAATTCACATTTACACATGTTCAATTATGTCTAACAAAAGGCCCACCGATGACACTGTTTGTTGGAAGGTAAAATTCAGTATACTAAGATTTCCTATTAGCTTCATGCCTTTAAATAAATCAGCACATACGTCAAAAAAGGAAAGGGAATATATATATATATATATATATATATATATATATATATATATATATATTTCTGCATAATTCTGATCGTGTTTTATCTACAGAATAGACTATAATGACTGTTTTGGTGCACTTTCTGGTTAGTATTCATTGTGACAAATCAAATAAGCGAATGATTCAAATTTGGCAAATAATCCATAATAAGGTCTCTTTGGAAGTACTTTAAAAGTTGACAGAAATATGGCAGCAATGCAGCGTCGTGTTTTTCTTAGTATGGTACCAGTATTGGCAAGTTATAGTTCCTCGTTCTAGGGAAATAAAAGTAAGAATCTATTAATGAGCTGTCATCAGATAATTAATTAACCATACCATTTTTGATAATTCAATTCATTACTGTTTGAATCTAAGTAGTATTAATGTACCGCTTCCAAATATATATACATATAAAATGAAACATTGAACTTGGAATAAGCTGAACGTAAATCATGCAATATATTTGTTGTCATCAATTAATTAGTTGTTTAAAAACACGTACTCATCTAGACTTGATACTGATAGTTATTATCCATGAAAAGATTGTAGTTGTATAGTCTTGGAAATTTATTGGTTCAGCTAAAAATCATCTTCAAAACCATTCATTAAAGTCAGCTTATGCTAATTTAATGAAATTGTTAAATGTTTCATCAGAAATAGGATGTTCACAGTTATTAAATTACGAACTCATCCCAGCTAGACCACCATTGAGAATCTGGAAACACTAGACGGCCATATGGATAGTCTTGCTAAGAGTAGTTCTTGATTTAAACCGTGGATATTCTACAATCTATCAAACTCCCCTAAACTAATGATAATCATGTGCTCACTAGTAACTAGCCTGAAGACGTAAGTCCTAGAGATCGAATGAGATACCGTGACCAGTGGAGCTTAATTCGTGTCATGTGTGGAACTGCTGTTCACTGCAAACAGTGGATGAGGGTTGTGCAATATCGTTGATCGTCTGAAGTTAGACATTAACGTTGTTCGATCCCCCGTACTAATAAGAATAGATATGATCTGCAGTTTCACTAGAAATCAGCCAAAGTCACTGAGAACTAATCACTATATTTCAAACTAAAATATCAGAGTTGACTTAACGAAGCAATGTTTACTTCTCCATGTCAACTGAATTTGTAAAGTTAGTGGCATTCTTGACCCAATATCTTGGTTTATAATCCGTTTGGCAACTGAAACGAAAGATATTAAATTCAAATCTTGGTATGTGTAGATACACTCGGCTGAATGGACTAGCAAATATTAGTTATAACTAAGAAATATATTTCAAACCTCCCCATTTAAATTATTTCTATTAAAACTATGGATACTTTTACTTATCGGTTCAGTGTTTAATTTCTTTTGAATAATTTGGATTTTATAAGAAGGGTTTTTGGAGAGTTTAGAAATTTCAATAGTTGAAATCATGAGTCAATTGAAGCTCGACCACCAGTGCTTCCAGGTTTGTCATGGTGGTCTAACTTCAATTGACTCATGATTTCAACTATTAAAATTGAATTTTGTTAGACATCCGTCAATCTATAGACAGTTTGATTGAATGATGATTACATAATTGACTTGAGTTCAATTAATCATCATAATATATAAGTATAAATGTATCGATTGATTGTCAGTCCTTTTTTCTTCATTTCTACCTGGAATCTACAAAACATTGGTTGTTTTTTATTCTTAGTAACTTAGTTATTCTAAATATCTGAAGGAATATTTACTAAATATAGTTATCTACTATTTGAATCATACATATGATTTTTATTTAAAATTTATCAAGTATATATTTATCACCCTAATTAAATGATAAAGTGAAATGGGAATTATATTGATTTAGTTGAATACTCATTATAGAACAAGATGGATCCTAGACAAAGTCTTGAAAAGATACCTAATTCAATTATTTACATATAAGTTAACTGACTCAATTTTTTGGTAACTTCAAAGTAGTGATTACGTCGATGGTAATCCCTGAAATAAAAAGCAAGTACTTTTAGACTAGTAACAAATAACATTTTTATTTATTTTAAATACTTCAATGAAGCATTCTGATAATTATACTTAATATGCTGAAAAATGTCTTATTGCTTTTAAGAAATTTGGTTCAGCAGTTTAATTTGCTCTTAAAGCGAAAGATTGAATTGTATACAAAGTTATTTTAGCGATTATCATGCAATTACTGTACGCGCGAATTGAAATTTCATGCTGTCTTCTGTATTATCAAAAATTATAGATACGTTTCATTTTATTTTAGAACAGAAATTAGTCAAACGTAAATCCTCATTTCAATTGTTTGTATGATTATTTGCATCAAACAGTATAACTTTCTCTTTGAAATTATTAATTCTAACATATGGCATAAAGCAAATTTCATGCGGCAAATAATATGAACTTAAATTAATCAGAATGAGGAGTTATCTTATGAGTAACCCAGTTTATTTGATTCAATTACCCTGACTCAGACAGGTATAGGCAATAATCAATATAAAATAATACGATTGAATTTATTTTGCCTACATTTATGTTAGTCCTACACTCGAATCATTGACAGAAGAAGCTTATATATATTTATATTTATATATACTTGACTGGTAAATGAGTAAGTCTAGTAGTGCATCATACACACCATATTGTTTACGAAGTTAGTGGAATTTTGAAATACTCTTATGTAAGACCTGAAATTATTAACTTGTTAATCAAGCATTAAGTAACTGATTGATAAAGTCCAGTGATTCACATATTTCAAATCAAATTAGATTGTAATTATTATTACTACAGAATCATTTAAAATCAATGAATAATAACTGACTTAACCACTTTACTGAATATAAAGTTTTCTTATGCATCTTGCAAATATGTATCTTTATTATTAGTCGTATTATAAGATTATATGTGAAAATTATATTTGAAATAATCTCAGCGATTGAAATTTAAACAACTCCAACGTTTCGTCCAACTAACTTGTCTGGACTTCTTCAGGGTAATAATCGAAATCGTCAAAGAAATATATAGCTTTTTAACGATCATAACTATACTGTGTTACATCAATCAAATTTGGATGTTGATTTTTGTGAAATGGGATAATATGAGTCAGTTAACTACAATTCATGTGAAAAATTTCAACTACATGGAAATAATTAACTGAATAACAAACTGTATGTGTGTGTGTAGGTATGTATGTAAGTGTGAGATTAATTATTGATGTTCTGTGTTGATGTGTGATATATGAAGGAATAAATAAATAAAAGTACTCAGCGCCCAATTTCTGTCAAACTATTCGTTCCAATCTTGACGAATATTCGTATAAATTATTATAAGATTGTTTATAAAATACTTTTCAGTCACTTCTCTTGTTGACAGTAAACATTATGACATCAGTTTTTTTTGTTCATTCTCGAAATCCATACATAAATATACATCATATAGTTTCTTTTCTATGACAATCGGTACAAATGCATCATACACAGTTATCCGTAGATTTTTCTTATTATCGACTATTGAAATAAATAAATACACAGAAATTCTTTTTAAAAAAATTAAAAATAAAAAATAAATGATTCTTTTGTTTTATCCATTCTCTCTTCCCAGCCCCCTCTCTTTTTCCTATTGTTACTTTTATATATAAACACATAGTTATGTTAATTATTAATAAACAACAACATAACAACTAGTTACATAAATA